ACAAACAGAAGCTCCTAAGCCCACCACCTGGAAAAGGCCCGCTCCCATGGCGTCTTGTTCCCTTTTCGGTGGTTTCTTTCAGATACACCAGCCATTCCTAATGTTAGACAGACTTGTTGAGGCTCAGGGTCTGGGGCAGAAATTTTGGAGAGAGGGAGCAAATCTATAATAAACATAATTTATTTTTCCTCGGTGCTAGCCATTTCTGTCCTGTGTGTGCTGCTTATCTAGACAGCAGGCAAATAAGACAAGCTGAGAAGCAAGTGGAGACGAGACCCCGGTGTGTTTGACTCTGGTTTGTGGGGGGGGGATGGGAAGTGCTATTGCTGATGGTCATAGTGGAGAGGAGGACTGGGCTGTACTGGTCATGAGCTCAGTCCTCCTCTTTCTAGGGCCTCAGGTTGTGGACTTTCCATCGTCTCCATGTTTGGCCGTAATCATCTGTGCCACTTAGGAGCTGACACAAAGTATATTCTGTCTGCTCTCTGTCCACATTTCTCCTTCCTGAGTCTTGGGCACGTTTGCCCCCAGAATGTCATGGCAGCAGCCTGTTTGGACAGATGTCAGGGCAAGCGTGAAGAAAATTGGCATCAGGCTAGTCTCTGGTCTGCCACAAGTGGCAGCTGCCTCTATCAGTTACGCTTGCCAGTTTGCTCCTTTTTTCCCCCAGTTCCCCTCGACCCTTCTCTTTTAGATGCTGAAACTCTAGCTGCCTGAGGCAACTGTAGTACTGCCCAAGGGATTTGTAGAGAAAGGGAGGGGAATTGCCTAGTGTAGTGTTTCAACTTTTCAAACTAAGCAATCTGTTCACTCTTGTATTTAGCTTTCAAAATGCCTTTGGCGTGCCAATCTGTGTGATGGCATTAAACTCTTGAGGCCAACCTTTCTGACCAAAATGGATGCCCCCCTCTTATATGTTACATAAAACCCATGTTATTTTGTATTTTAAAGAGGAAGGAAGGAACTCATAAGACTGTATGGGGCATTTCCCTGAGGCTAAGACTTCACCTCTCGGAGTTGCGCACTGACACTCGTTGGGAACTCATCAGCTGTAGTTTGGATTTTTTCTACCCTATCACCGTCTTCTGTGGTTTCTGCTCCATCAGTTGTGACTCTTGTAGCTGCTTGTGTCTCAGAATTGGGAGGACAGTTTGTCCTGGGACCTCACTGTTCTGATGGCTCTGAGAGGATGTTGCTTGTTTTAAATAGGTTTTTAGTTTGGTTTGGTTTTTGGTGTTTGCTTTTTCCAGACAGAGTTTCTTTGTGTCCTGACTGTCCTGGAACTCATTCTGTAGACCAAGCTGGCCTCAAACTCACATAGTTTCTGCCTCTGCCTCCTCAGTGCTATAATTGAAGGCATGTGCTACCACCGCCCGGCTTAAGTAGGGTTTGACTTGTTAGGTGAATGAGAACCTTCCAAGCTTTGTGCACAGCAGACTGGAAGCCAGAGCGTTAGGTGCGCTGCACTTTTGGTCTGAAGTAGTCCACGTGTGTCAGGCTGTTTCCCAGCTGTTCCTTCTTTCAGTTCTTTACCAACCCTGGTCTCCGAAAATCCTTTATTTCTCTTAAGACTGAAGTCTTTCTTTTTAAAAAATGGAAACATTTTACACAAAGTGTCAAGTCTGTATCTTGATAAGTGTACAGAGATCTGTGTCTCTACTCCTAGAAGAGAAAGTGAAGTATTTAATCCATCTCCCCAGTGTCCTGGGCTCCTTCTTCCAGAAGCCTCCATTCCCCATCTGAAATCACCAATTCCAACATCCAACTTGGTGGGTTGGTTTTCATACGAGTGGAGCCTTGCACTGTCTGTGACAGCTGGCTTCACTGGCTCAGATACCGTAGCTTTAGCCACATTGCAGTCTCTGTAGCTTCTTTTTACTGGTAATGTTTCCACATCCAGTCACTTGATGAAGAGTTGTGCAGCTTCAAGTTTGGGGGCTATCAGAAAGAAAGCATAGAATGTGTAATGAGACTCCGTATAGGGAGGTATCTTCATTTCTCTTGGGTAGATGAGTACTGAGGTAAGATTGACTGGGTAATGTGAGACATATGTAAGAAAAGTCTTAATTTTCAGTGCTGTTAATTCCATCTTCATAGTTTCATTTTTTTTTTCTTATCTTGGCAAGCTATGGGAATGCGAGTCACAGTGTAATTTTGACTGATGACTGCATCAGCAAATAACAGATGGGTGCCAGCTGCACTAGGCTTTGGGCAGAGTGTCTGTGCCAAACCCATGGTGAGCTCAGCAGCTGCTTCTGGAGCATAACTGATGCCTGTTCCCATGTAACTAGCCAGCTGCTGCTTCTGCTCCAACTAAATTTAACAACGTCGAGCAACAGAAAGCCATTTTACGAAGTATTCCCAGTATAGTCTCTGTCCCAGAGCTTGGCAGAGGGCAGTGTGATTGGTTCCTTGTTTAGAAGCATCCTCTGTGATTCGTGATGCCCCATTGGTTTCTTTTTAAGTATGAAATTTCTTGAAAGTTATAGAAGAACAGACAGCAGTGTGGTATGAGCTCTGAGGAGAGTCCAACCCCATGTGGCAGAGTGACTGTCCCTTTCTTACAGGTCTCAGAGGAAGGGGAAGGTTCTGGATGATATTTTATGGGTAGTCCATAGTAAGTATTTTCAGGTAGGCTGCCTGCGTTTCCTGGAGGTGGGCATTGCCTGGGAGTGGGGAAGAGCAAGAAACTAGAAAAACAAGTTAATAGAGGATCTTTAGACACTGACATGCCCCTAGGTAACATACTTGAGGGGCTTTATTAGCCAGGTGAAAGTAGCACACTTAGGATTTAGTAGTTCTTTCCTGCTCATCAGGGGAGTCTTGGGATAGTCTCTAGTGTGTGAAATCCTGGAGAAGGGTGCTTTGGAGGAGGGGTGACCTCAGTGACCTCCAAGCCTGCTAATATCTAGCTACCTAAAATTCTTCCCTAAAGAGTCAAGACCATAAAACCATTTAAATTATTTTAATGGACAGTGAGTCACCCTGTCTACTTCCTGATAAAAATAGGACAGATGTGTTCAATCTCTATCCTTGCTGTCAGGCATTGCAGGACAACTAAGGCAATCCAGACAGATGGAGTTAGGTTGTCACAGGACCATATGAGCGAGGATGGGCAGTTGTGAGGGACTGAGAATGTGGTATTTGCTTAATCTCTTAGTCTGCCCTGGGGACCTGAAGGTGCAGTGCGGTGGGTTTCTCACTGAGAGAGGCAGCAGCTGCTGGAGGCAGTTATTGATTGGGCAGCAAGTGTTCAGTCCCACCCTGCTTGGGCAAGAAGGGGGCAACTGAGAAGGTCTCCACAGAAAGAAAACCTGGTGTCACCCTGAGAAGCCGGGCTGATGCTGATGATAGCAGGGGGAGAGCTGGGAAGTAATACTGCTCACGGCAGGCTGGCTACCACTCCACCCAGGGAACAGCTGGAACAGCTGGAGTCGAGAGAGGGTGTTGTGTGTTTTGGTGTTGCTTTATTTTATTTTCAAGGGAGAAAAGGCTGTAATGCAGGAACTGTCTATTTTCTGTCCTACTGCATGAAGTTATCCAAATGTGTAAAGAGATAGACCCATTAGAGGTTTTGGCAAATTAATCAGATCCAGTTGAGAGGGGATAAGAAACAGTTGTCTTTGTAATTCTTTAACTCCCTTCCTGGTGTGTGGTAAATGTCACAAATGGTAAACCAAGGGAGAGTAAGTGACCTCAGATTAAAGGCAATAGGTTCTGATCCAAGCCCAAGGGACACTGTAGCCCAGTACTGAGATTTTCAGAAAAGTCCACTCTCAACATAGCTTCCTGAAGGTCAGGTGGTAGTGGTGGCACACACCTTTGATCCCAGCACTCGGGAGGCAGAGGCAGGCGGATCTGAGTTGGAGGCCAGCCTGGTCTACAGAGTGAGTTCCGTAACAGCCGGGGCTACACAGACAATAAAATGTTACTACGGCTGGAAGAGGACAGACAACAGCATGGCAGGGACTCTGAGGAAAGCTCAGACCCAATGATACATTTTACCCTGGAGAAGCCCTAGTCACACACAGATATGTTAGCTTCTGAGTATTTGCAAAATGCTAACTTCTCATTTGATTTGTTCTAATTTGGGGGGACAGGGTCATACTGTATAAACTAGGCTGGCCTTGAACTTATGTCTCTAACCCCAGGGCATGCAGCCTTTTCCTGTGTGAACATGGTGGACCCTTGTCTGTGGGAGCTGGGTGGAGAGAGATGCCTGTTGTTCTAGCCTGGCTGGAGTCTGACTGGCCTCTTCTTCCAGTCTCAACTATGTAGAAAGCCTTTGTAGTTCCTCGCGTGAGTGTCAACAGCAATGACCACAGCTACCTTTACTCACTCCTCGAACCTCCCCACTCAGTTCTCGAGTGCTGTGAGTGCTGTTCCCCGCAGGCTGGCTCTAGGTTTGAGGAAATAGAGAAATTCCCACTTTTCCATCCTATAGATGCCACAGGATGAGGGTCAGGAGTGTACCTGCTGCTTAGAGCCAAACTTGGGCTCAGTGTAAGCTGCTGGAGCCGAAGACAGTGAAGTAAGGCTCTCCCTCATCCAGGCGCTGGCCAGGCAGGCCAGCTCTTCTGAGATGGATGAGACCTGACAAGTTAACATGGTGGCTGCAGACAGCTTTTTCTGCTCTAGGTTTGTTTTTGGTTTCTCTGCGTAGCTCTGGCTGTCCTAGAACTCACTTTGTAGGCTAGGCTAGCCTCAAACTCAGAGATCTGCCTGCCTCTGTCTCCCATATGCTGGAATTAAAGGCGTGTGCCACCACCCCCTGGTGCTTTTACTTAAGGAAGAACAAGCTTATGTTTAGGATTCTGCCTCAGGACTTCAATCTGTGTCCTAAGCCTTTTTACTAAGTAAGGATTGGAGAAGGTGGCGAGGTGTGGGCCTCTGGTCCTCTTCAGTGCTGGGGCTGAGGGATGGCACAGGAGTGTCCTCTGTCTAAACACATAGTTTCCACATAGTTTCTTAACCATTTCCCACCTTTTTCTTTTTCTAAGAAGCCAGAGGAGGAGGAAAGAAGAGTTTTACATCGAAAGACATGACCAAGGTAAGCCACATTTGTCACTTTCGTCATGAGAAGCTTCTAGGTCTAAATGCTGCTATGATTCAGGAGTCTCCTCTAAAGCCCTCGGTGATTTGGAGAAGAGGAAGCCATGTTTGGGAGCAGTTTTCCCAAACCAGCCCAGGACATGTGCTTTGTACAAACTGTCTGTGTTAGCTAGAATTTCTGTTCCCCAGCCTTGCGTTCTTGATGGATGTGTTCTTTGTGTTCTTGATGGTGAACCTGGTCATTTAGCAGGGAAATTGAGGTTATTTCAGTCTAATTTCTTTGTCCCTTCTAGGGTCAGTGTAATGACCTTCTTGCTTAAAAATTATAACAGCCTATGGTGTCTTCCACTCATTTTTCCCCAGAAGACACTCAGCTGTTAATGTTTTCAGATTGTTTTGTCTATGCATATAAGTGGCCCTATGTTTCTGTTTTCAGTGCAAGATGGCGCTGGCAGGGACAACTGACTTAGGTACTTACTTTGAGTCACTGTAGTTTGAGGGTCTTCTCAAATGTGACTTTGTTTTTGTTTTTGTTTTGTTTTGGTTTGGTTTGGTTTTTCGAGACAGGGTTTCTCTGTGGCTTTGGAGGCTGTCCTGGAACTTTCTTGGTAGTCCAGGCTGGTCTCGAATTTACAGAGATCCGCCTGCCTCTGCCTCCTGAGTGCTGGGATTAAAGGCGTGCGCCACCAACGCCCAGCAAATGTGACCTTGTTTAGTCCTCGTCATAACCCTGTGAGACAGCTATGACTGTCATTACTTCTGTTATGTGTTCTTTTTTTAAATAGGGTATCTGTATTCCTTCTTTGAGAGTTTCACGTATACAGAGTACATTGATCATGTGCATGCCCAAATTTCCCCTTATACTTCTTCCAGATGTCCCTATGTTGCTGTGTGTCACCCCCCCCCAGCTCATACCCACATGTCTTCATCCCCTCCCCCCCCCATCAGTTCAGTAGTGCTGCCTGTTGGAATGCTGACTGGTCTTGTTAGTTTGGCCTTGGGTGGGTAGTGAGTTCGTGAATGCAGTGACCATGTCACAGTACTCCTCCCCATCCTCAAGATCATATTTGTGTGGTGAATGACATTTTTTTATTTTTTCAACATTCACTTTTATTTTATGTGTGTGGGTATTTTGCCTGTATGTATGTCTTTGTACTACATGCATATGTCTGATACCCACAGAAGCTAGAAGAGGATGGTGGATCCCCAGAGACTGGAATTACAGATGATTATAGGCTGCCATATGGGTGCTGAGAATTGAACCTGCATCCTCTGGAAGAGCAGCCAGTGATCTTAACTGCTGAGGCATCTCGCCAACCCCTCCCCCCCTTTTTCTTTTTTGTGTTGTTCTTTGACAATTTAATACAGGTATATAATACATTCTGATAACTCTCTCTGGACCCTCTCAAGTCTCCCTCCCATGCCAAACAATACCCCCTTCTCTACACGGCCCTTTCCCAGATTCATGACCTTTGGTTTTGTTGTATGACCCATATAGTTTAGCCATGGCTCTCTGTGTGACTCCTGGATGGCTTTGTTTGCTGTAAGACAGGGTTTTACTGTATAGCCTTGGCTGGCCTGGAACTTACTTGTAGATCAGGATGGCTCAAACTCGATCTTCCTGCCTCTGCTTCCCCAATGCTGGGACCAAAAGTGTGCACCACCACACCCAGCTGTAACTCTTGAAACTTTCCACTGGTGGCCCGTTGGGTACCAGTGGGTACACAGCTGGTTTTCAGTATTCCCCCTTTTCCTGTCATTGCTTTTAAAAGTAGGACTCTAAAGTTTTTCTCAGACATCTGCCAAGGGATTCTGACATCTATTATCTGGGAGTTGGGGGTTGGGGCACCTCTTGTGGTTATTTATTGTCTCCTAATCTTTTGTGTTTGTTGTTGTTGTTGTTGTTGTGTTTTACACACCTAGGGTGATGGATATGTCTTTCCTTTTTAACTCCTTCCGGGGCTGTTTTGTGTGAGGCCTTCTACAAAGGATGTCCTCAGTAGAAAGTCCATTTCCTGCAGCTATTGGAGCAGACTGGAGTGGTGGTCCAATAGTTTATCACCAGTTTTAGTTTTGCCTCGCTGTGGAAGACATTACACTTGAGTTTTCCCAGGGTAGAGACTGGGCATAGGGACACTGGATGGAGGGTGTGAATGCCATGGATTCTTTGGAGGGAAAGCGAGGGTGCAGCATGAGATGGGAGGTGTAAGGTCAGGTTGGTATAAGAGTTCATAATGGAACTGTTTTAGATGTAAAAATGTAGAAGAGCAGACTTTCGTAGGTGCAGAGAGGAGAGACAGTTATGGAGCACGGTGGGTCAGCAATTAAAGCACAGAATTACAGCTAGGTTCAAAAAGTTACCAGTTAGAAAAAGTAAATGTTTGACAAAGCACACCCACTTGCATGTACTTGTGAGTGCAATTCCGTTCAGTTGAAAAACACCGCTTCCTGGAGTCCATTGAAGCACCAAGCAGCAGGTGTGCTCAGAGCAGAGCCCACACGTGCACCTTTGTTCCCACACTGACCTGTTCATACGGCAGGCTTCACTCGGGAATGGCCTTCTCCACTGTCCTTCCTGTTAGCTTAAGAGTTTGTGTGTGATTTCAGGGCTTGGACTTCAAAGATGTGGTCATTTACTTCTCTCGAGAGGAGTGGGAGTGCTTGCACCGTTCCCACAGAAGTTTGTACCAGGATGTAATGTTGGAGAATTATAGCAACCTGCTTTCGCTAGGTAAGTTCATCCTCCCACCAAGGTTCAGAATTGCCCTTCCAGAATTTTCCTGTTCTCTATGATAAGTGCTGATTTTAATTTTTTTAGTTTATTATGTGAGTGGGTGCTCTGCCTGCAGGTATGCCTGTGTTCCACATGTGTGCCTGGTGCCCGTGGGAGCCAGAAAAGGCATCAGTCAGGTCCCCTAGAATTTGAGGTACAAATGGTTATGAGTCACCAGGTGGGTGCTGAGAATTGAGCTCCAGTCCTCTTGTAAGAGCAGTCAATGCTCTCAGCTGCTGAGCCATCTCTCCAGCCTGCTGCCGTGTTTTGTTTGTCGGCTATGCGGCCCACGATGCTCTGAAAGCCATGACATTCCTCTGCCTTAGCTTTACAAGTGCTGAGGATACAGACCTGCACCGCTCCCGTGAATACTTTTCAAGTACTCAGCTAAATTAATGATGCTTACAGAGAGAGAGAGAGAGACAGAGAGAGAGAGAGAGAAAGAGAGAGAGAGAGAGACAGAGACAGAGACAGAGACAGAGAGAGACAGAGAGACAGAGAGACAGAGACAGAGAGAGACAGAGACAGAGACAGAGAGAAAGAGAGAAGGAGGGAGGGAGGGATACATCTTCTCTTCCCCAGCCCTCTAACATTCACTTATTTTGATCCTTAAATTATTATTTCTTTATTATTATAATGGGGTGGGGAAGAGCGCACACACAGAGAGGTCAGAGAACAACTCTATGGAGTTGGTTCTCTCCATGCATCTCTACATGAGTTCAAAGGACTGAATTCAGGTTGCCAGGCTTGTATTACAAGTACCTTTACCCATTGAACCAACTTACTGGCCCAGTTTCTCTCTCTCTCTCTCTCTCTCTCTCTCTCTCTCTCTCTATATATATATATATATATATATATATATATGTATGTATGTATGTATGTATGTATGTATGTATGTATGTATATCATTGGGAAGACATTTTTTACATACAATATATTGTTCCCATCCCCCAAATCCTCCCAGATCCTTTCCACTTCCTTACCCACCCAAATCCATACTTTTTCTTTCTCTCATTAGAAGCAAACCAGGATAGGAATAAACAAACGAACAGGAAAAAAAAAAGAAGAAGAAATAGAAAAAAACATAAAAGCACAAGAAACACATACAGACACTGAGACACACATTTGCACACATTGGAAACCATAATATACAAGCAAAAGATCTGTAAGGTTAAAAAGAAAGAAAGAAAAATAAAAAGTCCAAAGCATTATGAGACAAAAACCTCCAATGATACCATTGAGTTCATGTTGTGCTGGCCATCTACTACTGAACATGGGGCATAAAACTTAATTTCTCCTTTGTGGATGTTTGTCAGTTTGAGATAGTAGCTTCTAGGTTAGGAGAGGGCTTCTGGGTTAGGAGAGAGGGATTCTGGGTTAGGAGTGAGGGCTTCTGGGTTAGGAGAGAGGGCTTCTGTGTTAGGAGAGGGCTTCTGGGTTAGGAGAGAGGGCTTCTGGGTTAGGAGAGAGGGCTTCTGTGTTAGGAGAGGGCTTCTGTGTTAGGAGAGAGGGCTTCTGGGTTAGGAGTGAGGGCTTCTGGGTTAGGAGAGAGGGCTTCTGGGTTAGGAGTGAGGGCTTCTGGGTTAGGAGAGAGGGCTTCTGGGTTAGGAGAGAGGGCTTCTGTGTTAGGAGAGGGCTTCTGGGTTAGGAGAGAGGGCTTCTGTGTTAGGAGTGGGGGCTTCTGGGTTAGGAGTGAGGGCTTCTGTGTTAGGAGTGAGGGCTTCTGGGTTAGGAGAGGGGGCTTCTGGGTTAGGAGAGGGGGCTTCTGTGTTAGGAGAGGGCTTCTGTGTTAGGAGAGAGGGCTTCTGGGTTAGGAGTGAGGGCTTCTGGGTTAGGAGAGAGGGCTTCTGTGTTAGGAGAGGGGGCTTCTGTGTTAGGAGTGAGGGCTTCTGTGTTAGGAGTGAGGGCTTCTGGGTTAGGAGAGGGGGCTTCTGGGTTAGGAGAGGGGGCTTCTGTGTTAGGAGAGGGCTTCTGTGTTAGGAGAGGGCTTCTGTGTTAGGAGTGAGGGCTTCTGTGTTAGGAGAGGGGGCTTCTGTGTTAGGAGAGAGGGATTCTGTGTTAGGAGTGAGGGCTTCTGTGTTAGGAGAGGGGGCTTCTGTGTTAGGAGAGGGGGCTTCTGTGTTAGGAGAGGGCTTCTGTGTTAGGAGTGAGGGCTTCTGTGTTAGGAGTGAGGGCTTCTGGGTTAGGAGAGGGGGCTTCTGGGTTAGGAGAGGGGGCTTCTGTGTTAGGAGAGGGCTTCTGTGTTAGGAGAGGGCTTCTGTGTTAGGAGTGAGGGCTTCTGTGTTAGGAGAGGGGGCTTCTGTGTTAGGAGAGGGCTTCTGTGTTAGGAGAGGGATTCTGTGTTAGGAGTGAGGGCTTCTGTGTTAGGAGAGGGGGCTTCTGTGTTAGGAGAGGGCTTCTGTGTTAGGAGAGGGCTTCTGTGTTAGGAGTGAGGGCTTCTGTGTTAGGAGAGGGGGCTTCTGTGTTAGGAGAGAGGGATTCTGTGTTAGGAGTGAGGGCTTCTGTGTTAGGAGAGGGGGCTTCTGTGTTAGGAGAGGGCTTCTGTGTTAGGAGTGAGGGCTTCTGTGTTAGGAGTGAGGGCTTCTGTCTACTTCCCTTCTCTGGTCTGAGATCCTGTTTTTTCTCTTGTCAATCATGGACTTATTTTACTATAGTCTGACTGTGTAGCCCTGGCTGGCCTTGAACCCACAGAGATCCTCCTGACTCTGCCTGCCTCTAGAGTGCTAGGATTAAAGGCTTGTGCCTGTGTGCCAGGCCTCTGGACCATGTTGATTTTGACATGCACAATATAAACTTCCCCTTTTGTCTTTGGACAGGTCTTGCTGACACTAAGCCAAGAGTGATCTCCCTTTTAGAGCAGGGGAAGGAGCCCTGGATGGTTATGAGGAATGAGACAAAAGAATGGCTTCCCGGTGAGTGATGGTTCCTGGACCTGAGGAGACAGGGCAGGTTGTCATCCAGTCAGTCTGTGAGAGGGCAGCACTCTAGATGCCGCTGGGAAAGCGCCCAGGCAACCAAAGCCTATGATCTGCAGGAGAAAGGATGTTCTAGAGCAGTGGTTCTCAACTTTCCTAACCCTGACCCTTTAATACAGTTCCTCATGTCGTGGTGACCCCAACCATCAAATTATTTCCATCTGTAATTCATAGCTGTAACTTTCATGGGTGAGTGAAAAAATGAGGAAATGGCTGCTTCTAGTTATGATTGAAGAGAAAATTTTTGTTGTAGGTATGAGAGCACAGCCAGAGGAATCTGGAAGGGTCCAGACAGAACATGGCCAGCAGCCTGAACCAGGCTATGAGAGGAGGGGGCATGGGAGAGAAAGAAAGGGGAAACAGGAGGAGGGGACCAAGATCCAAGAGCCAGGAGCAAGCCAGAAGACCAGGAGAGGAAGAGCGCCAAGAAAATGCATAGCCAGAGTGGCTGGACTTTATAGGAAAAGGGAAGCAAACTCAAAGGCTGGAGAGTTTTAGGTCAGAGGATGGGACATGCCAGCCAGGGTGACTGAGAGATGGTGGGAGAACCTGGTGGCCAGCATCCACCTTGATGTGTTGAATAGGCACCTCAGTCAGCCATTTGTGCTGGGTTCCTTTGAGACCTAACAATGGGAAGAATTTTTAAAATTTGTTTCTATTAGTGCATATTCACAAGCACCTGCTTGTCTGTACGTGCACATGCGTGCAGGTGCTCAAGATGGCTGGAGGAGGTCTTTGGAGCCTCTGGAACTGGGGAGGTTACAGGAGTTTAGAGTCCCCTGATGTGGGTGCTAGGAACTGAATCCAGGTCCTTTGCAAGAGCAGCAAGTGCTCTTAACCACTGAGTCGTCTCTCCAGTCCCCAGATTTTTTATTATAACTATTAGCTCATAATCTTTGTCACAAAACTACTCATGGATCTATCTAATAGTTTTTCATATCAGAATTCGTGTGTTTTGTCTAGGCTATCTGATAAATGGGTCCAGAGTGGTTTCTTAGAGCCCTTTTTATATACGTGAGGTCACTAGCATCCCCTTCTTCCGTTCCCCAGCTTAGTACCTGGCCTGTCTTCTCTTGTTTCTCTTGCAGTTAATGATGACTTGCAGCTGGATTGTTGTTTGATTCTCTTACTGTAGTTCTTAGAATTATTTTCTTAGTGGTTGCCCTAGAGATTATTATATTTGAAGGAGCACAGTATAGGAACTAACAAGTATAGTTAGCATTTTAATTTAAAACAGTTTAGAAGCATGGGGATAATGCATTCTAGACTATCCTGGGCTAAACAGTGAGAGCCTGGCTGAAAAAGAAATAGAATAAGACGGAGGAATGAACTGTGGAATGTGGGCAAGGGAGTAGCTCCCCAAATGCCTTTGGTGTATTTCTCTGACTCTTTCCCACAGGCATTTGTAAGGAAACAGGCCCTGCAAAGTCCCCCTCCTGCTTGTGCAGGACCTTGGGATGAGGGCACTGTGACTGATGAGGACTTCTTTCCACGTCTTCTGGGGAAGCAGACAGCTGCTCGTGTGCACAGCCTTTTGTGTTTCCAGGAGTATAGGTTGTCTGGATCTGTGATTTCCTCTCTAGCTCCTGATTTACTGAAAACCAAAACCATAGCTTTATGCTGCTACAGCATTACTAGTTGTTTGCTACTGTTTTCAACAATGTTCTAGGGTGGGACTTGCTGTTGCCTGCCCCCAGTCTCTGGTTTCACATCCCCTGGAGCTGAAGTTACAGACAATTGTGAACTGGCAGACTCACGTGCTGGAGAACTGAACTTGACTCCTCTGCTAGAACAGCACACGCTCCAAACCATTGAGCTATGTCTCCAACCCCACTCACCATTTTCTTATTGTGAAGGCCCCATCCAGTCACATTTATTACATGTTCTAGTGAGGGAAAAATAGATACATACATTATTTTAAGTATAGTAAGATTTCTCGTCAGACTGCCTTTGGGAACCTCCAGCCCCCAAATAATGACACAGAGATTTGTTATTATGAAAGTTCGGCCTTTGGCTTAGGCTTGTTCCTAACTAGCTCTGATAACTTAAGTTAACCTGTTTCTGTTCATCTACACTCTGCCACATGGCCACATGGCTCTTTGCCTCTCCTCCATGTATCTGACTCCCTCCATGTCTTGGCATCTTTGCACCTACATTCATCCCCCTGAGTTCCTCTCTCTGTCCCTCCCAACCTCTCCCACCTACCTATTGGCCATTCGACTCTTTATTAAACTAATCAGGTGCCTTAGGCAGGTGAGGCAAAACATAGACACATCTTCATGCAGAGTAAACAGATACCCTGCAACATTTAAGTGCCAGTAAGATACTGAAATGTAGTGTTCTAAGTTGGAGAATGATGAGGTATATCTCTGCGATATAGGACTGGGTTGGGGTAGTTGTCCGAGGAAGGACATGGGTACAGCAAGAGGACCTGAGAGAAGGGTGTGGGAGGGAGGGAATGCCAAAGTGCCAAGAACAGCAGTGCATGGGGCATGTGAGCTTAATGAATGTCAGCAAGAAGCTAGTGGAGGCTTTGGGATAATCGGGTGTTACAGACGCATTTCAGCAATGCCTTTGTCATGCACCTCATTTTATCCTCAAGCTGCAGGCTGTAGTAGAGGGGCAGGGACTGTGGGGCCCGGTTTTACCCCCACCATCTATGCCATGAGGATGGGTGTGTATAAGATTTGTCTCTAGATCGCCTTCTAAGCAGCAGACACAGTGAAACTGAATTACAAGGCTGTCTGGGAAATGTAGTGTTTGTTCTACATTACTGCTGCCAAGCGCTAAGGTGTGTATCACCCAAAGAGGAAATTCGGCCCATGTAGTTGAGGAAAGAGGAGCATGTAGCCATAGAAAGTAAGAGGGAGGTCAGAATGGTCCACAGAGCCCTGAGAGGGGCTCCAGTTCAGGAAGGAAAGGACAGAGAAGCAGATGTGTGTGGCGTGAAAACAAAGGAGGATAGAACTAACTAGGGGGAGGGGACAGAGCATAATGACATTTGTGTGAAAATGCTATAATAAAACCCATCACCTTAAATGCTGACCTTAGTGGGGGCGGGTAAGCAGCTAGTAGCTAAGAGTAACTGAGAGAATTAACTATGTGAATTAGCTACATAGAAGTTATGTGAGGAGGCCAGGGGGTGGTGGTGCACGCCTTTGATCTCAGCACTTTGTGAGTTCGAGGCCAGCCTGGTCTACAGTGTGAGTTCCAGGACAGCCAGGGCTACACAGAGAAACCCTGTCTAGGAAAAAAGAAGAAGCTATATGAGACATTCAAACCAGTTACAGGGGGATGACAGGGACAGAATTTATTGGATGTAAGAAGAGAAACCATGGAAAATAAGTTAGAGAAGCACTGAAGGTCAGCTAGCTAGCATCATGATGGATGAAGAATAAGAACAGAACAGCCGGGGTAATGGAGTTAAGTATGCTTTTCTATATATGCTTGAAATTTTTCATAGCATAGCACTAGAAAATACCAGAGGACATGTAATAAGTGTGCTTTACAATAGAGCATGTATAGTGGTGAGCACCCTAGTCTGTAAAGGTCATAAGTAGAGACCACAGTAAAGCAACAGACCGAGCTGTATTGATAGCTTAGGGAAAGTCTCTGCCAGCCGATTCAAAAGCAGTTCTAAAGCTGTGCTTCAGTGTAAAGAACGTGCAGTTGGCCAGAGAGCTGGAGCAGGGTTAGCTAAGGCAGGAAACAGGAACTGAAGGGCAGATTGTCAAAAGGTTCTTTTTCCTCTGTGTGTGTGTGTGTGTGTATGTGTGACTGACTATAGGTGTTGAGGCCAAAAGAGCATTAAATCTTCTGGAGCTGGAGTTATAGGTGGTTGTGAGTTGCCTGGGATAGGCTCTAGGAATCAAGCCTGGGCCTTCTGCAAGAGCAGCAAGTGCTTGTAACCTCTGAGCTGCCTCTCCAGCCCCCTTGGGAGGGCGTTTATTCTGAGTGACGAGGAGGTTCTGACAGAAGGGTGCTATGAACTCAACTTTTTTTTTTCCCCAAGAGAGGGCTTCAGTGTGTAACAGTCCTGGCTGTCCTGAAACTTGCTTTGTAGCCAGGCTAGATTCTTACTTACAGAAATCCACCTGCCTCTGCCTCACTAGTGCTGGGATTAAAGGTGTGCTCCACTGCTGCCCAGCTGATCTCTCTATTTTTAACAGCAGCATTCTAACCACTGTGCAGAGTGGAAATTGGGGTTGGCAGCAGATCTAGTAGGCTATATAGCATGGTGGAACTCTTTAGCCAATAATGACTCTAAACAAGATGGCTGAGATACAGCAAAGGAAACTGAACATCTGCACATGGTCTGAGGCTAGAGATGGGAGCTGTTGTCGGCTGTGCCCTGTTTATATTCTCATAGTTTCTTAGACGGTTCCTGGATGACGCTTTGAATAGATTTCCTATGTGATTTGGATGCCCACCCTGGGGAAAGAACATGGCCTTCCCCTTCCTTTTTGAACTCTTCGTTGTCTCTCATCTCATACCCCCTTCCAGATTTCAATGTTGTGTTGCTGGTGGTTTAAATTTTCATCGCTTTTAGCTGTCATTTCCAGCAATGTTCCCTTCTGAAGTGTGAAAATGACCTTCCACTCTCTTATTATCTTACAGATTGGGTGTCTGGAAGAGAAGGCAAGAATTTACTTCCAAAGGATGGCTACAAAATTAAATCATGGCAACAAAAGATGGCAAAAAAACATACACACCCCAACATTGAGGACAGCAGGGCCAGAGGTAATAGACAAGCCACAGGCCAGCTGGAGAGGCAGCAAGACCCTCAGGAGGGACATTTGAGACAAGCTGTAGTGACCTCTGTCGAGAGGCCCAGTTCCATCCAGTGCACAGTCCACAAAGATGCTCACCCTAGAGAAAAACCCTGTGAATGCAAGAAATGTAAGAAAACATTCATGTGCCAGTTATGTCTCACTGAACATGAGCAAATTCACAATAAGGAAAAAAGCATTGAGTGTGTACAGTGTGGGAAAGTCTTTAACTGTAGGTCAGACTTAATCATGCATCAGAGACTTCATGACAGCAAAAAAGGCAATGAAAATAAGAAAAGTGTCCTTGTTTGTGGTTCTGATGTTTTGAAACCTCAGAGTACTCACAGTAGTGAGAAACCTCATAAGTGTAAGGAATGTGGGAAAGGTTTCCATTCTACCTCACAGCTCAGTCACCATCAAAAGTTGCATATAGGCGAGAAGCCCTACAAGTGTAAGGAGTGTGGGAAGGCTTTTCCGTCTATTGCCCAGCTTAGTCTTCACCACAGAGTTCATACTGACGAGAAGTGCTTTGAATGTAAGGAGTGTGGGAAAGCCTTCACCCGCCCCTCACATCTTCTTCGTCACCAGCGAATCCACACTGGTGAGAAGCCGCATATGTGTAAGGAGTGCGGGAAGGCCTTTCGTTACGACACGCAGCTTAGTCTCCATCAGCTGACTCACGCTGGGGCGAGACGCTATGAGTGTAAGGACTGTGACAAAGTGTACAGCTGTGCCTCACAGCTCACCCTCCATCAGATGGTTCACACTGGGGAGAAGCCCCACAAGTGTAAAGAGTGTGGGAAAGGCTTTATCTCTGATTCACATCTGCTTCGACATCAGAGCGTTCATACCGGCGAGAAGCCCTATAAATGTAAGGAGTGTGGCAAAGGCTTTCGTCGTGGCACAGAGCTTGTCCGACATCAGAGAGCCCATACTGGGGAGAAACCCTATAAATGTAAGGAGTGTGGAAAGTCCTTTACTTGTACCACAGAGCTCCTTAGACATCAGAAAGTTCACACTGGTGATAGGCCCCACAAATGTAAGGAGTGTGGGAAGGCTTTCATTCGAAGATCAGAGCTAACACATCATGAAAGAAGCCACAGCGGTGAAAAGCCCTATGAGTGTAAGGAATGTGGGAAGACCTTTGGCCGTGGCTCTGAGCTCAGTCGACACCAGAAAATCCATACTGGTGAGAAGCCCTATAAGTGTAAGCAATGTGGGAAAGCCTTCATTCGTGGCTCTCACCTTACCCAGCATCAGAGAATTCATACGGGACAGAGGAGGAGTGAATGAAGAAACACTGCCATCAGAAAGTTCATACAGTTACAAATTCTTATGATGGCTAACAAATTGGGAAAGCGACATCAAAGGGTTTCTCATTAGCACTAGAATCCATACTCAGAGACTAAGTAGGGCCACAAATGATTGGACACTTGTCATCAGTGAGAAACCTTACAATTACAGAAATCGGAGGTGACTTAATTGTTCCAAAATTTATCTCAAGGCTTTAGTTTATGAAAAATTGGAAAGTTCATGAACGTAAAGAAAGTAGGAATGTTCTTCCAGTGACCCAGAGCCAGATATGCCTCAGGGAATTCACACCAGGGACAAACTGAGGAGGCAGTAACATCAGAGAAATTAGCTGTTAGCCCTCAGAGGAAAGATTCATAGTCACTACAAATGGGATCTTTCATACTTAAGGCCACACTTGTGTTAGAAAAAAAATGCAGCACATTTTTCGTTCTTCTCAAATTTTATGAAATACTTTTGAATTGATTCTATAAAATGAACTTCAACTGAGGAAGTGTGGGGAAGAACTTAACCACGTCTACTTTTTATTCACCCTCACCTACCCCAGAGTTCGGGCAGGGTAAATTGCTTACTGACTTTTAAATTCTCTTATAAATTAGCATTGTTGACATCATGTATCTTTGTACTGTGAGGATGTGACTAGTTTGTGGGATAGCCAAATTCAGCAGGGCAGGGTGGTGCATGCCATTAATAGAAGCACCTGGAACCAAAGGCAGGAGGATCACAAGTTTGAGGATAGCTTGAAGAATGTCTCCAGGGGGGGAAAAATGCCAAAGATAGCTGCTTTTCGTGTTATTTTCAAAATTGTGAACTTTTCTATAGCAGCCTTATAAAAGGAAAGCCTTCCATGTCCTGCGGTTGGAGGGGCATTTCACATTGACTGTTACAGAACCCTTTTGAAGACAGACCAAAAGTTTTCATTCATACTTTGCCCTTCTGCCAGGCAGCAGGTTCAGTTTAAATGGGAGGTGGGGAGATTTCGATGCCACAGTTGTGTATGAGATGAAGATGAAATCGAAATGAAATAGGCTGGTTGCACAAGCAGAGGTTGTAGGTTTTGCCTGTCTACAGGCGTTACCAATCCCCTCTGTGATGCTGCCAACCACTTACAGTCTGGTCCTCCTACTGCGCACTTAGTCTCCTGGGTGATAAGAGGGTCTGAGCAGGAGTCCGCAGTGGGCTCTAGTAACGAGACACGGGAATTGGTCTTGTCAGCTGCAGGGAGCACATTGCTACTGATAGGCGGTGCCTGATTTGTGCTACAATCAAAAGGTTGTGAGGCTGAGACTGTCGTGGGAATACATTGTCAGTGACGTTGTGGCTTCATAAAGCCATGAACTGCCCTTTCCCTGAGCTTGCAGAATAAGAAATGTGTACATTGAAAATGAGTACTCAGCTCTTTACAGTATACCTAACTCTTGGAGAATTATCGTTGAAAAATATTTTTACACATATATTCAGTTTCAATAAGGTAGAGTGTTTATATATATTCAGCTTTTATAGTATGTCTGATATAGAGAAGCATTATTTTCCAAAGTATTTTCTTAGCCATATTAAAGTATATATTCACTTTTGATTAAGTAAGATGTAGGATGTTTACTTACAGCATTTGATAGTGTATTTTTATATCCTGCTTTTTACAATATATCTTAAATCCTGGAAAAGTATTGTTTTCCTGAATGAAGTTAGAATCAAGGAGAACCTGCTTAAGGAACTGCACTAATTCCTCTAAATCTGAATCATGTGACAGCTAAAAAATCTTCTACCTCTTCAGGACACAAGGACAGCACTCACAGCTGTGAAGGGAGCAAGCATTTTTACAAAATGAAGTCAGCTATTTACAAACTCACTGTACTTAATAGAGGCTATTCTGATTAGAGCAGCAAGTCTCATCAGAAGCCAGCAAAGTGGTGCTTTGTGCAGATGTGTTTGTAGACATGCTAGTAAGTAGACACCAGAGTAACAAAGCAACTCTCCCCTCACAGTGCCTGCTGTGAAGGGAGATCACGTCCCTGTTTACAGACTTCCACTTGAGAATAGTCGCCCTAGTGAAGTTTATCTGCCTCACACTGTAGAACAATAATGCATGTGGTAAGTAAAACTGCTAATGAGTAGACAGACTACTGCAGAACGATTTATAACAATTCAGGTAGTGAGTGGGTGTGTTGTGTGCACACGTGTGTGGAGGTCCACCTAAGATGTCTTGCTTCAGGAGCCATCCACTTTGGTTTTTTGATACAGGGCCTCATGAGGAGCTAAGGCTCACCAATTAGGCTCAGCTGGCTGACCAGTGACGCCCAGGGACCCATGGGGCCCTGTATCCTTTGCGTTGGCATTAAAAGCAGGCGCCACATCACCCGGCTTTTTTATGTGGGCTTTGGGAAACTTGGAACTCAGGTCCTCACGCTTGCACGGCAGGTACTTTACTGACTGAGTCGTCTCTCCAGCCCATCAAGTCTTTTTGAAAAGGGAGAAATGATGACTGAATTTTAATCTGCACTGGTATATTAATTTAATAAATCTAAAATCTTAACTATTCTAAAAAGAACTTGCACATTTTATAGGAATTAATTAAAGTAATTAAAGCAGTTTTTAAAAGGAGATAGTAGTACTGATTTCAGTGTTGGAAGGAAAGCTCTTTAATGCGCTGTTCATGTATACATACTTTTCTCAAGACTTGAATGTCCTCTCCCAAATGTATGTATCATTATGCGCCTGAAGGCTAGAATATACCGCAGTGATTCCGTTAGAGAAAGGACATTCTCTAACAGTCTTAGGTGCTAGTAGCCCGTGGGTGCTGGGCTTCCATTCTCACTCTGGTTGGTACGCACACCCATGCTTGCACTGTTTAGGTGACAGGTTATGGGTGGAGAGAGTGTTGAATGGGATTGTGCATACACACACAGTAGTGCAGCCTCTTCTTCTCATGTGGTGATCCACAATAGACACCTTTCTGGTCGATATTTACAGAGCTAACTAGCCTCAAGTAATTCGTATGAGCCATGTGTTTGCAGCCCATTCTTCAGCAGTCATTGTTCAGGTTAGCTTTACCATCAACGAGGTCAGGACACAGGTGTTGCCGCGTGTTGGCGTTTCTGCTTCTGTAAAGCAGGTGAATTCCTGCCAGTTGAATCCTTGCCTTAACATAGTAGATTTGAAATGTACTTGGTGCCTTATTGCTTTTGTGTAAAGCTCGTGAATGTGTGTGCGTTTCCCAACTCTTGTCAACCAGGACTGAAAACATGCCTTCCATTTGCACTACCTTAACTGCCAGCAAGGCTGAGCATCTCCCGGGCCTATGGGACATTTGAGCTTTGTTTCTGTGAATTGCACATTGTTATCGGTCTCCCTTTGTAAAATTGGAGTTGTTTTTTGAGACATTTGTAGAAGCACAGCTAGACGATCATATTACCACATTAGCAATTTATTGTCTTAGTCTGGCATATGTCATTTGCCCTTGCTTATATCAAAGTGTTGTTTTCTGAAGGGCCAGACAGTATTGCAAGCTTTGGGGGCCTGTTTTCATGTGACCTTTGCAGCATGGAAGTGCATCGTTTGAACCAGTGGTTCTCAGCCACTTCTACCGCATCCTCGTAGACAATTGCCGATGTCCACAGGCATTCTTGTTTGTCACTTTAAAGATGGTTGCTGCTTGTGTCTAGTGGGCAGAGGCCGAAAGAGATCCTTCTCAGTGTCTTGTGATGCACAGCACAGCCCCCAAAGAAAATGATGTCAGTTACGTTCCTGGCCAAACAGCACTGGATACCACTGTGTCAATAAAACATTCACAAAGCAAGCAGCTGGCATATTGTGCTTGTAGATGTAGTTTCCTCACCTTATTTTAAATGGCTTTTGTCTGTATGCTGCTTTACTGGTTTTGTTCTCAATTATCTTTTATCCCAACTAGTTTTCTGTATTTTATGGCCTTAAATCTTCCTTCCTAAAAATACAGAGGATCAATAGCATGTGTGTAACGACCACCCAGTATTTTTGAAACATGGGTTTTTGTTTGTTTAGTTTTGGTTGAAATTACATAAAATAAACATCGTTTCAGAAAAATATCTCGAAGTCTCAGTTTTTCTTCGTGGAGCTCTATTTCCTGTGCCTGCAGAGGGCGTAGCCTAGTACACTGGTGTGTAAGATGTACAGATGGATCTTACGGATGATGTACAGCGTTCATTCTACTGAGGAGCAGTGTGGTATTGACAAGGACAGACCTAATTGTTGTGCCTGCTCTTTTCCATTTCTGTGTATTCTAGTCACTGAGAGAACAGTAGAAGCAGATAACATCTATGTTTTAAGCAGTGGGAGATCTAATAAAGATTTTTCACTTAAAGAATGTTCAACAAAACCAAGGAGCCATGCTTACAATCTGCACAACTTAGGAAGAAAGTATAAAAGATACAGGCCTGGTCTGCTGTGGGCCAGATATGCAATGACATGATGGGAAGTGCCACACTTCTGCTGTTCCAGGAAGGATGAGAGGCTGCACACTGACTGCCTCAAGAGGAACATGTCTGCTGCCCAGGTGTGTGCCACCTGGAGAATCTAGGTTGCATCTGCCAAAAGCAGTGGAGTCCCAATAAAGGGTGACTGTTTATGACCCAATGTTAGGCCTACAGGGAGTTCAGTTGCAGATCCAGAGAGGAAGCCTGAGGTGGCCCACAGTAAGGTACACAGGTGCGGGTAGTTCCTCAGCCCCAGCACAAACTACAGATGAGGCAGGAGACCAAAGCTGACTAAGTATTTGATCTCAGAGGAAATTAGGGTTAAACACCAGCCCCACAAAGGAAAACAGCACCTCAGCCCCTTGGGTAAGTCCTCTCCTGAATACTGTACACTCCACTGGAAAAAGAAAACTTGAATTTCTAGGAAAAAAAAAAAGGAAAGCAAAACATTAACTGTGCAAGTCCCATTTTAAACCCATACTTACAGCACCCAATGAAAATGATTTGGAAAACTTCCAGAAAAAAAAAAAAAACTGGAGAAAGCAAAGAAAGGAAGAAAAGAAAATCTTGTATACATACATGTAGGCAAAACAGCCATACCAATAAGATAAAAAATAAAGTTAAAAAAAAAAGAACAGAGTTCTTGTACACCATGAAAACACCAAATCTAACTATGGACATAGAAGGAGAACACAAACAGTTTTTTAAATCTGTTAAAGAAAAAAAGTCAAGGACCAGATGGATTCAACATCAATAATACTCAAATTATTTTTTCACAAAGTAAAGTTTCTAAATTATTTTTATGAAGCTACTATTATCCTGATAGCAAATCAGATAAAGACACCACAAAAAAAAAAAAAAGAAAGAAAGAAAGAAAGAAGACAGACCAATCTTCTGGATGAATACAGATGCAAAAGTTCTCACTATTTGATAGACTGAATTCAAGGTCGTATTTTCAAAGAGCATGACAAAGTTGGCTTTATTCCAACACAAGGACAGATCATCTTACATGTAACAGTGTATATCAGTGAGTGTAATTTATTATACAATCAGAAGGCAGAAAAGGCCTTTGATAAAATCCAACATCCCTTCATTATAAAAGTATTGGAAAGATGGCTCAGTGTTTCAGGGTACTTCCTCTTCAGAGGTTCCCAGCCTCCCTGTGGCAGCTCACAAATGCCTATAGCTCCAGTTCCAAAGAATCCTATGCCCTTTTCTGACCTTGAACACCAAGAATTCACATATACATACATACACATGCAAGTGAAACATTAGTAAATCGTGGCTCAGGAGTTGAGAACATGTACTCATGTACTACTATTTCAGAGAACCCAGAGTTTAATTTCCAGGACCCACATTGGGCAGCTCATGGTTCTGGCCTTCTCATGGGTACCTGCATGCATGTGGTGCATATACAGACAAGCAGACATACATGGAAAATCTGTCAGAAAACATGCAAATCTTTAAAAGAACTATGTATGACGGGCCGGTAGCCAGCAGTGTGCTAAATGGAGAAAAATTCAAATACCCCCACTAAGTCAAAACAGGGCAAGGGTGTCATGCTATCCACTTCTAGTCAGTATAGTGCTTGAAGTCTTAACTTGAGCAATACAAGAGAAGGAAATAATACAGACAGGGAAAAAAGGAGAGAAAGTGCCCCCTTTTGCAGATGATATGAGTCTGTACATCAAGAGATCCTAAGGACTCTGCTGTGGATTATACTCATTGTTACTAAGCACCTGACTGGCTGATAGCAGGACAAAAAGAGATTGGGCAAGACAGCCTGACACAGAGAGAATGATGGGAGAAGGAAGGGTAGAGTCGGGAGTTGAGAGAGTTGCTGGCAGCTGCAGAGGGAGCAGGAGATGAATGTTCTGTGTTAATAAAGGTATTTCCACTCGGCAGAGGGTAAACAAGGAATCTGGGTTAACTTAAATGTAAGCGCTAGCTGGTAATAAGCCTGAGCAATCAGCCAGTCATTTGTAATTAATATTCAGCCTCTAGTCAGTTATGTGGAATCAGTTAGTTGGACAGGAAACGTCCAATTACAGACTCAACACAAACTTAGATCTGAGAAACCAAAGTGACAGGATACACAATGAACACACAAAAAGTTTTCCCATATGCCAATAACAAACAGACATGTGGAAAGGAATTCACAATAACCACAAAAATGAAATGCCTGGGAATCAACAGAACCAAGGAAACGACTTCTATAATGAAAACTTTGAGACACTAAAAATGGAAATTGAGGAAGACACCAGCAAATGGAAAGATATCCCATACTTATGGGTTGGAAGAATTTAGTTTTATGAAAATGGCCTAAAAGGAAAAAAAGAAAAGAAAAGGGAAGAAAATGGCCATTCTAAATACAATCTAAAGATTCAATGTAGTCCCATTAAAAATTCCAAGAGCATTCTTCACAGGCACAGAAAAAACACATTACACAAATTTATACAAAGGTTTAAAAAGAACCAATGATAACCAAGGAGTCCTATAATGAAACACTGCTGGAGGTGTCACCAATACCTGATTACAAATTATGCTACAGAGCCATGATGATAAAAACAGCATGGTGCTGGATCAATAGAATAGACTTGAGGGCCCAGATAAAGTACAGGCAACTACAGTTACTTGAGTTCTAACAAAGAAAAGACAGTATCGTCGACAAATTGTACTGGGAAAGCTAGAGTTCTACATGAAGGGACACATGAAAGTAGAAAGGGACAAGTTGGGAGAAGCAGGTCAGCAGATGTGGGGGTGTGGGGGTGGGACAAATGGGGACACTAGAGGTGAATGCGACCACAGTACATTGCATATACCTATGAAATCGTTTTAAAGGTTGGAGAGATGGCTCAGAGGTTAAGAGCACTGGCTGCTCTTCCAGAGGTCCTGAGTTCAATTCCCAGCAACCACATGGCAGCTCACAACTGCCTGTAACTCCAGTTCCAGGGGACCTGACGCCCTCACACAGACATACATGTAGGCAAAACACCAATGCACATACTTTTCTTTAATTTTATATGTTCAATTAAAGAAAAATAAACTAGCTTACATATTGTACTTATTTTTCAATTTAAAGTTTCCACTTGGCTTTCAGACTGACAAATTCCATGCCTTGAGGAATGCAAGTAAGAAAGCCACAGGATCATGTGTGCAGCCATTACAAAGCATCTCAGGGTGGTGTCTCATGAATCTCATACCCACATCTTGTGATGCTACTGCCCTTTCCTATATGACCCTGTGTCTATATATTTAATTAACTAACTTAATTTCCTGTGGTGCTTTGAATAAGGATGCCCCCCCTTATAAGCTCATAGATTTGGATGCTTAGTCACCAGGGAGTGGCACTACTTAAGAGGGACTTGGAGCTGTGGCCTTGTTGGAGGAAGTGTGTTGCTGGAGGTGGGTTTTGAGGTTTTCAAAAGCCCAAGTCAGGCTCAGTTTCTCATTGTCTTTCTGCTGCCTGTAAATCTGTATGTAGAACTCTTAGCTATTTCGTCAGTACCATGTCTGCCTGCATACCACGTTTCCTGTCATGAGGATAATGGACTAAACCTCTGAAACTGAAAGCCAGCCCCAATTAAATGGTCTCCAGTATGGACTCACTCAAAAGTGGATATTAGACATAAAGCAAAGGATAACCAGCCTACAGTCCACAACCTCAGAGAAGTCAAGAAATAAGGAGGGCCTTAAAAGAGACATACATGGATCCCCCAAGAAGGGGAAATAGACAAGATCTCCTGAGTAAATTGGGAGCCTCGGGGAGGGTGGATGGTTGTAGGGAGTCAGGAGGGGAGAAGTGGAGGGTGGAGGGGAACATGAGGGATCAGGAAGGTTGAGAGGGGGAGAGCAAGGAAAGAGATACCTTGATAGAGGACCCCAACTAAGAATCTAAGCAATAGGCCAGGCATTGGTGGCACACACCTTTAATTCCAGCACCTGGGAGGCAGAGGCAGGAGGATGTCTGTGAGTTCAAGGCCAGCCTGTTCTACAGAGGAGTTCCAGGACAGCCTTGAAAGCAATACAGAGAAACCTTGTCTTGAAAAACCAAAAAAATTAAATAAATAAAAATAAAAATAAATCTAAGCAATAGTGGAGAGGCTACCTTAAATAACCTTCCCCTATAATGAGATTGATGACTACCTTAATTGTCATAGAACCTTCATCCAGTAGCTGATGGAAGCAGATGCAGAGATCCACAGCTGAGCACTGAGCCCAACTCCTGGAGTCCAGTGGTAGAGAGGGAAGAGCCATAATATGAGCAAAGGGGTCAAGACCATGCTGGGGAAACCAACAGAAATAGCTGACCCAAGCTAGTAGGAGCTCGCTGACTCTGGACTGACAACTGGGGGACCTGCACAAGACCTAACTAGGCCCTCTGAATGTGGGTGACAGCTAGATTACTTGGGTAGTTTATGGGGCTACCTGCTGTGGAACCAGTATTTAATCCTAGCATATAAACTGGCTTTTTTGGAGCCCATTCCCTATGGAGAGACGCCTTGCTTGGCCTAGATACAGGCGGGAGGGCCTTGGTCCTGCATCAAGTGATGCGATAGATTTTGTTGACCTCCTCATGGGAGGCCTCACACTCTTTGCGGAGTGGATGGGGG